TGGAGACGCCTATTCCCACTCCTCTAGGTCTCCACACATTCCCTCAGTAGTGAACAAAGTACCAGCAGCACCAAGGAATGCCTGACAAGAGAGCACTCATCAGATTAATCAGTAAATACTGACAACCTAGAGATCAGCTTTATAAGCAAGAGGTCCAACAAACACCCAAAGCAGCTGGAGACAGACTGAACGTGATCCCCTTGCACAGAACATGTCTGCCCCTCCTTTCTTTTGTGAGTGTGTGCAAGCCACCAGGTCCCTCAGTAAGGCATTGATAATTTCTGCAGAGAAGGTACTGGGTTTTCAGAGACAGGTACTTGTTTTGAGGAAACAGCTGTTCCCTTTATTTTTAAACCACAGTTTAATTTAATTTTTAAACCACCGTTCAGCAAACACCCATGCAAATGGAGATGGGCAACAAGGGTACAGGGAATGTTCAAGCACACTTTTACCATACAGCACTGCTACTTCTGAATACCAAGCTTCTCTTGATTGGATTGACAAGAGAACACTGACCAGCACACAGCCATCTGCAAAACTTGAACCCTGATTCTAAAGGTGTACATAGGTTTCCTCACCAGCTTCCTAGCCTCACGGTTCATAAAGGCAAACCCACACCAGAAAGGACAGTGTCCTGGTTTTCTCTGGGATTGCATTCCTTTTCTTCCCAGTAAACTGATGTTTGGGTTGTTGCTAAGCACTGCTTACTTTAAGTCAAGGACTTTTCATTTTCCCATGCTCTGCCACTCAGTGACGAGTTGCACAAGAAGCTGGGAGGGAGCACAGCCAGGACAGCTGACCCAAAGTGGCCAAGGGGATATTCCATACCACAGAACATCATGCTCCGTGTATCAACTGAGGACAGCTGGCCAGGAGCCACCAATCACTGCCTGGGAACAGGCTGGGCATCAGTCTGGGGGTGGAGAGCAACCGTATTGAGCATCACTTGCCTTCCTTGGGTTTTATTTCCCTCCCTCTCCTCTCTTCATTACAAGTACTATTATCAATGTCATTATAATTAGTATTATACTTCACATTAATTAAAATGTTCAGCTGTTCTTATCTCAACCCACAGATTTTACCTTTTCACTGATTCTCATCCCCATCCTACAGAGTGAGGTGTGAGTGAGGGGCTGTGTGGTACTTACCTGCCAGCTGGGGTAAACCACGACAGACAGAAAAGAAGACTGAAACTCCAACTCCTTTAAACAGCCCAACACAAGATGAACTATCACAGCTCTGCTCCTCACACACCTGCTGCAAGGATGAGCAAAAGGGAGGAGGAGGACCCACTCAAACATTTCTAACCTCAGAAAACCAAGACTAACTGTCCTGCAGCCCAACATCCAGTCTACGTGAAAGATCAGTAATTACCACATGTATTACAAGACATTCATTTTCTTGAGCTGTCTAGACTAGCAAAGCTCTAGGGTGGGAGAGTACTCACTGGATAGGAAGGCAATATGGTTAGCACCCTAACTACATAAAAGGAGGGGTTTCTCCAGCAAGATCCTTCCTACACAGTTTCTGAGCCATAAAGACAGTACTGAACTCTGGATGACAAGTGTCATCAGCATCCCTATTTACAGGGAAAAACTGAAGCTGCAAATCCAAGCCTCCACTCACTAAAGTATCGGCCTTTCGACTGAAGTTATCTACTGTTTGTTGTGCTCCTCCACCTTTGCTTCCCTTTGTTGTTGCTTTCAAAGTCTCGCCACCATTCCCCCCCAACCTCCTGTATTTTCCCAGGCTTGACCTTTCCTGCATCTCTGCTGCTCCCTGCTCTTTACCCACACATACCACCAGAAAGCATTTGCCCCGTGTGGCAACCCTTCCTCCAGAAGGAGCAGCGGAGCAGTCAGTGAGCTGAGACTTGGCACCACACTCATCGAGACTCCTATTTAATTTTTACCTCCCCCCTCCAAGCTCCTGAATCAACGCCAAAGGGAACGTTCGTTTTGGCAGTCAAGTCTCCCAGAAGAAAAGTTATAGCCAAAGTGCTGGGGGTGGGACCAAGACAGCCTATTAATAGGCTGATTATAATATGAATTTGGGGAACTAGTCCCAAATATGCTTACCCTCCTGGACCTAGGGCTCTCAGGGGTGGAGTGGAATACCTAACTCAGCACTTTCAACTTCTTTACCGCATCTGGAGCCAAGCAGGGTGGAAAATCCTGTCTGTACCCTGCCTCGCAAAAACATGGTTTGCCAGAAGGGCAGCTGAGCTATTGTTTTCTTCCCTTCTCCCCCAGAAAACAAGTTGCTCTCATACTTACAAAGCAGCTCCCTCTACCTCACCAGAAAAGACCTAGAATTGGAAAGCTTCCATCTTTGCATTAAAAAGGGTGATATCAACAATTTTGCTGTGAAGGAAAAAAAATCCAGAATGACTCCAAGAATCAACACGGAACAATCCAAGATCCCTTCTCACCACTAGTTTCTCCAGAGCACACTAGACTGCTGAGGAAGATAGACTCCATGGACTGTTTGTCATCAAAACTTTTAAGATATTTGAGAGCATAAAGAGACAAAAGGTTTTGATTTCAGGAGACAGTCAGATTACTATACCTGTAAAAGAAAGCTGTTTCCTTCCAGATGACAGCTCAAAACCTCCCCAAGACCCCTTTAAAAGTGTTAGGATGAGGCAAGTATACATGGTGGCAAAAAGAGTCCAAAGGCAGCAGCATGTGGTACATGGCTATTCCATCATAGTTAGAATCACCTCTCCAGCACACCTACAAGGCTGCTTTTCTCCAGCCTTCCTGAAATCCAGACTGTCCTTGCGTGTCTTCACATTCTCCCATCAACAGACCTCCCACTCCAGCACCATGCCTCGGCCAGAGAATCAGGGGCAGAAAGCAGCCCCAACCTACATTTCATCAACTAGCATGACAAGACCTTAATGAAAACTGTGCAAAGTTATGCTGTGAATATGATCATGATTTTTTTTTCATGTTTCACAAACATGTCACAATCCTAACCCCTTAGATGCTGAAGGACATTAACTACATTCACTTTTTATGCAGTTGGTCACATGGCAGCCACAACCTTTATCAAGATCTGAAGGTCTTACACATAAGTAACACACAGAGAGGAGAAACTCTTCCTTTGCTGTGAGACACTGGGCCCTAATCAAATCTACAGCTTTACCTTTGTAGCAGCAAATATGGAAAGACACGCAGGTTTCAAAATACATGTCAATATACATTATGCTCATCTGTCAAACTATGGAAAAAGCAACACTAGTTTAGCATTATCAGACATGCTTGATGAGCCTCTTCTGTTACACTGGAGCATCCATGTGCTGCGTGGCTTACATTCAATGTACCAAACAAAACCAAAATCAGCTTGCCAACAAACAAGAAGTTAAAAGTTTTCATACATCTTAGATTTTATCCTAAGTTTTACAACTCATTTCAAAACCCTGCTGCAAAGAAAAGAATTGGAGAAAACACTGCTTCTAACACATGCACTATTAAACATTCAGGCCTTGATTCTCAAGCAAGTTCTTTGCCTCCAATGACAAGTTAGACATGCACACTTTGGCAGGTGTAGGATCTCAGTTCCTCTGAACACAAACCCACAATCTACAACCAAGCAAACTCCCTCATACCAAATCTGCTCTGTGTGTGTATATATGGGTAAATACTGACACATACCAAAGTTTCTCTGCTGAATTCACTTATGACAGAACTGCCTCATCACGCCTCAAGGCACAATATTGTAGCACAGGGAAACTCTGGTACTCATCTTTCCATCTCTCTCATCATATAGGTTATACTGGCTCAATGACCACAGAGCAATTAAGCTCAAAAAAAATTTATTTCACAAGAAAACCAACAGATTTTTGAAATCCTGAAAGAGACATTTAATTAAGTCAATTGGTGCACGTCCAAGGGCTCTCCACATTTTACAGAGAAGGAAAACAAAGCAGAGTCCAGACCTACTTCACCCAAGAGGCCTCAAGTTCTTCTTTACCCAGGAGAAAACTCCCGGACTTCAGCTTCAACCACTAAATCTGCTTCAAAGCAATTCCACTGCTAAGCTAACGGCTGCAGGAGGCTGCTCCTACATCCACTTAAACCAGCAGATGCTAATCTCTTCATCTGCCACAGATACACATGCCATTGGGGTCTGGACAGGATAAGCTGAACAGATGTTTAAGTGCACATTCAGCCTGGGGAATCATCTCCAGAGCTCAGCTGCTAGCTTCACAGGACACAGGAACTAAGGGATTTCAGAAGAGCTTTGCAGGACACAGGAACTAAGGCAATTCAGACACCTGTCCTTTTTTGTACCGTCGTTAAGGGAAGCACTAATGCCAGCAGCAGGGTGGAAGCAGCATCCTTGTGTCATACCTATGGCTCCCAGATACATCCAACCCAGCAAACTGATCCATACCTAATGGCAAAAAGAGCATCACGACATAAAACCATCAGCTCCTGCCATGTGGCCTGGCCTGCTGTCAGGAGTCTCTGAGCAGTTAGGCTCTTCATGGCCTGAAGGGCTGCTCCCAAAGCAGCGCCTGGCCCCTACAACCAAAATGCACAAGGCAGCCCCAACTACACAAGGAAAGGTCTCCATTTTCCTCCAGTAAAGAGACAGGGAAAGAAGTCCAGACAAGGATTTTAAAGATCTCATCAGGATATTGACCATCCCAAAGTTATGGCATCAGCTTTTTTTCATTCACTGAAATGCACAGGACTCCTCTGAGGCAGGTACAGCCTCTCCCACACTCAGAGAGAGGACAGAGAGATTCAGTTTGGTAACTTCGGAGGGACTCTGGAATTCTTCTGGGGGAAGATTCATGAACCAGCAACAACACAGACCCAAATGCAGCTGATGCTTCACGCCACAGCAGAGCCACACATATCTACACCAGCAGACTCCAAGGGCTCGCACCTACCTGAGGTGAACCAGCAACAACACAGACCCAAATGCAGCTGATGCTTCACGCCACAGCAGAGCCACACCAGCAGACTCCAAGGGCTCGTACCTACCTGAGGGGTCCCAGGCTGTAGTATCGCGACTCTCCGTCCGTGGAGCGAACCACCTTGACGGTGAACATGGGCTGCAGCTGCCGCAGCTCCAGCAGCACGATGGCCAGGTAGTGGATGAAGAGCAGGGCATCCACCAGAGACACGGCATACTGCACTATCCCTTGGTAGTTGGTGTCCTTCGAGTCCAAGATGCGAACGCCGTAAAAGAGCCAGTAGGAAAACACAAAGAGGAATATGAGGACCAGCAGAAGGGCCCGAAACACAAACACCCTCGGTAGGTCTGCCTTGGGCTGGCGGAAAAAAAGAGCCCAGGTCCCGATCAGGAGAATGAGGAGTTTAAACGCCACAGAGATGAACAGTCCCTCACAGACAGTACCACATGGCTCCAGATCATCTCGCCACAGGATCTGGGGTAACAGAATGAAGGCAATGGGGGTGAGGAAGACTAGGAGTCCGAGAACAGCTGCCACTGTTAAGCCCAGGTAACGCTTGCAGTCCAACCCAACGCTGTCTTCCAGATCCTTACTGATCCGGGCAATGTCCTCCTGGGAAATACTGTGCTCAGAGGTGCCTGTGATTGCCGTTGTGGTCTCACCCCAGTTGTCATCCTGAAGGAGGAAGAGATAAATAGAAATAACATTGAAACAATCAGGCTGTTCCTTCCAGATGTTCTGTTTTTCTTGCCTGGAAAGACTGCTATGACAGCCTTAAGTTCCAGAAAAAAATATACAGCAAAAGCAACACCTTAAACATAGTGAATAATCAACCCTGACAATTAGTAAAGGTTTGGAAACAACAGCAACTTGTCCAAACCAGTGACTATAAACAGGTGATAAAAGCCCATAACTGCAGAGCAGGTAGCTCTGCTTGCTGTGCCACTCACTGAATCCCCAGAGGTTCCTCTTCCAGCACATTTAACGAATTACATGACATAATTCTTGGAAACTGTAGTAATCACCAGTTCCCATGTCCAGGGCAAGGACTAGTATTCTTCCAGCCCACAAATTCTGCAGTGCAACTGCACCACAGAAGCACCTGGAAGGGAAATTTTCATTTCAGCGTTTCAAGCCAGTTGTTTTTGTTACACAATCAAAAACATGTTCACACATTATTTTTCCATCTGTAATAGAAGCAACCACACCTCCAGCAAGTTCCTCCACTTCACTGTCTTTTATTTTCCTCTACAGTAGCGCTGCCTTCAGTAGCTGACAATCTAATAAAAGTTTAGTTAAACCAACACATTACAGGTGATCACAGAGGATATTTTCAGGTATGGGGCTTTTAAGTTTAGAGGATCCTAGACTGCCAAGTAGCTCTGGTATTACAATCCAGGCCATTGTCAGAAGCCACTTACTCACAAAGAGGCTTACCTGAAATACAGTCACCATGCTGGCAAGTTTCAGATTACATTACGTGTTCTGAAAGTCTCATTTCTTCCCTAGCTAACATCAGACAATGTCTGCATTGGTTCTCCCAAGCTACAATGCCTCCAATTGCTCCTTCCAGGTGCTGGCACAGCCAAAGAGCTACACTGGCATGTATGGATTTGACTCACAGCTGCTGCTGGAGTGACTCATGCACATGGAGGCTCCTGATGCTTCCCACAAATGCATGCCAAAGAGTGGCAATGCATGTGGCTCTGCTGCTTGGCACCTGGCACACCTTTGTAGCCGCAATGCTCACTCAGAACCACATTTTTGCTTTTCTTCCCAAGAATATCTTCCTGCAGCCTGTGTCATTAATAGGATTTACAACTTCCCTCAAACTTCTCCAACTGCACATGCTGACCAAACAACTTATTTGAAAGAGACAGGCATAATTTTAAACCTTTATTCACTTCTTTTTAAGAGCTAGAGGAAAGAGTCTTTGGGAAAGGACTAGACTGAAGCAGCACAACTACTTGGAACAACTCCCAACTCCATGGATTTAACTTCTAAAGCACTCCAAGACATGAATACCTCCCATGCCTAGAGCAGTAGGGTTTTGAGACAGACCAACCACAAATAGTCAGCATCTTGAATTAATATGAGGGGTTTTTGAGTCACTTCTCACCAAAGCAGAGGCCCCAGAAGAGATCTGCATTGTAGTATGTCCTGAAAAGCAGCATATTCCTACCACATTGTACTCTTTAACAGCACCTCTGCAATTCAAGCATTTCAACTATTTTATGTTTATGCATAAAGTAGTTCTGCATAGTTTCCTCCATTTGATGAACTGCAAAATTGTGCAGAAAAGAGAAGGGACAGGAACACCAGGGCAGCTTAAGGCTACATCCCAGAAGACAACAGGCAACCCTAGTCACAGTCTAGCCCTTACAACTCTTGCCACTTGAAAAAGTGGACTACAGCCTAATGCAAAAAAATGTGCATTTATATGGAACCACAGACCAGAGGATGCTTTGGGTTGAAAGGGACTTTAAAGATCATCCAGTTCCAACCCTCTTGCCATGGGCAGGGTCATCTTCTACTAGACCAGGTTGCTCAAAGCCCCATCTAACCCAGCCTTGGAACATTTCCAGGGATGGGGCATCCACAACCTCTCTGTGCAATCTGTTCCAGTGACTCACCACCCTCACAGCAAATAATTTCTTCCTAATGTCCAATCTACACCTACCCCCTTTCAGTTTAAAGCCATTTCCCCTTGTCCTATCACTACATGCCCTTACAAAAAGTCCCTCTCTGGCTCTCTTGTCGGCTCCTTTCAGATACTGAAAGGCCACAAAAGAAGGTCACCTCAAGCAGTTTAAAGCCATTTCCCCTTGTCCTATCACTACATGCCCTTACAAAAAGTCCCTCTCTGGCTCTCTTGTCGGCTCCTTTCAGATACTGAAAGGCCACAAAATAAGGTCACCTCAAAGCCTTCTCTTCTCCACCTGTCTCAGCCTCTCCTCACAGGAGAGGAAATATGAGGCTAAATCTCTGGTGGTACACAGTTGTTGGACCTAACTGAGGACTCTCTGCTCCCTAGGAAAAAAGTCTGGCTCACACATCAAGTTATTTAGCTTTGGCTTTAATTGAGGAGGGCTGCATGAAAACAAGGACTTAGGAATTCACCAGTGCCTTCAGAACTATTTGAAAAAACAGCTGGGACTCATGAAAAGAAGCAACTGATTACAAAATACCAAATTACAGGACATGAAATGAGTACAGGAACACTGTTACAAGTACCAGCACACACAGTTTGGCTGGAAACTACACGCTGATTTTGATTTTTTTTTTTTTTGTAAAGGCAGAAGGGGAGCCCCACAGCCAAAGATTAACAAACCCCAAATCCAGCCCAGGAGGGGCTGGATTCTAGGTCTTGCAGCACCAGCCATTCTTTGAAAATGAGTATGTACCTCTAGATCACCTGCTGGAGCAGAGCACTGGATCCATCCTAGGTACAATCCAAATGCAGCATTAGTCTAGTTTTGACCAAACCCACTGTTAATTTACTAGCTTTGTCTGAGTCCATCCTCTTTCACAACTATTTCACACTGGTTTCACATCTCTTGATTCCATTCCCTATTGGAATCCTGGTTCTAATGCACTTTACGAGATTACCTGGAGCAAATCCCGGTTAAAAACTGAAATACACATACAGCTGAAAGGGCTGAATAATGCACAGTGAGACAATGGAAACACGTATTTCTACAGAGCTTGACAGATGACACTCTGGAGAGAGAGTCAAAGTAGTGCCCAAGGAATTGTCACTGGTGCTGACAGAAACAGCACCTCACAACAAGACAGAGGTGACGGAGACCTTGGCTGTGTGCATGAGCAAAGGGCACCATAAGCCACTCTGCTTACTAAACAGCATGCAAGCAATTCTTTGTTCCCACCCGCGAGCCAGCGAGCCCCACGCTCTGTGCCACACACACACTGCAGGTTTGCTCTCCTTACCTGGCCCTCCTCGGCCCGAGAGGCGTCATTCCCGAGCAGCGGCTCTGCAGGAGGTGTCTGGATAGTGACGGACTTCTCAGACCGACTGCCATCTTTGCTTCGGGGAGATTTGTGTCTGTCCCGGCTCCTTTTTCAAACAGAGGAGGAGGAGAACAATGTTACCAGTAACTCTGTGGAGCAGGGCCTGAAAGGTGCTGCACCTGTACCTGCAACAGGTGCCCCAAGCATTAGCTCAGCCAGTTGTCCTTCTCTTGATCAACAGACTCAGGCTGTGACAAAACAAGGTCTGGAGGAGGAAGAAAGGGACCTTGCCCAGACAAGCTGACAGCCTGGAGGCTGGGACAGACCACCCCCTCAGTGGTAGCAGAGGGGAGGACAGGCATCCATGCCCACCACCTCACCTTCTCTTAAAACACCTTCCATCAGTGCTGTGCTTAAAAGGAAAGCCTGCATGCCACAAACTGGCAATTCCATTTGGAATTTACTGGTCTACACAGTTCTCCACCTGCAAGAAAGTGTCTTGCAGAGACATGCCCAGTTAACACAAGGAATTAATCAATAGAGCTTTAGTTCCTGCAAAGCAGATTCTTGTCATCTCTGACCTTAACACTGTAGGACAATTGGTGAAGTTTATTTTCGCTGGTTAATAACCTCAAGTTAACCTCTCACAAAGAAAGCAAGAACATCAAGGGTACAAGGCCAGTCTTTATTTCCAGAGCACCCTTGCAGACCTCACAGCTTCTCATCTGAGAAAGTCTCAAGATGAATTAAGCCCCACCAATCTGCTCACCAATGCTTTCCTCCCCGTTCCCACATGGACAGGAAAGCAGGCTTTGCACTGGAAACCCTCACTGTGTTCAGGGACTGACTTAACACCCGTGAGTATCCCAGCTCTGCCTCTCTCTTGGAATTACCAAAGCCAAAAGGTTTCATGGGATGACACTTTTTCTAGTTTAAGGGCTCTAGGATTTTTATGTTGTTTTTGGAACTTTGTGGGCATCTTTCCACATAGCATTCTAAGTTTAAAAGGACAAGCTGTATTAGGGGTTGGATGCTAAAGAAGGGAAAAAAGGCAAACAAGACATGTTTTACTCGATAATTGGACTGTGAGCAAAGAGACTTCATGGAAGAATTCTTTTTCCAACCACATAAGGGTAATTGCTTCCGAATGCAAAATTATTTTGAACCAGCTCAGTAATAAGTTGCAAACAGTAAGTGTCACATATTTCACATGTAAAACTAAAAATGACGTAGATAAAAAAAGAAAAGAAAACGTTCCAAATAATCAGAAGTTTCAGAGCAGATGGGTTTTCAGGCTGTTGAACTACCACAACAGAAAGGACTTGCTATTCAAGTTCAAAAAAGCCTGACTTCTAATCCAATCAACGCTGATAAAGGACTTGTTGCCGACTCAAGTACCACTCAAATTCTATTTAAAAAAACCTCAACACACCATTAACAAAGTAGGCTGGAGGAGGGTGGGGAGAGGCAGGAAACCTTATTATTACAGAACAAAGAAATGGCATCAGAAGACAACTAGTAATTATCAGTTTAGGAAGTCTAACTCTTCTCCCCAGATACTGTACTCATCCCTCACCCTTTAAGAGGGGAGTTAGGTGATCTTTTCTTTCTACTGGCACTATCCCAATCTTTTTGGCCACACATAACCCCAGCATGCATCCAACAGGTTGAATATCACTGAATTAGCAGCTTCAAGTCTCCTCACTTTGTTCCCATGAGGACTTTCCACGTCTATCTCCTCCAGAGACACGGGTCCACTGATTTTATCCTGGCTTACAGCTTTTTTTCCCACTGGACATATCCTAACTTAGAGCAGTAAGTAATTAAAAACAAACATTTCCTTACCCTTGTCTGTGAGCTTTTTTGGAGTGACCTGAGTAGTGGGAGTATCCCGAATATGTTGATTCTGTATCCATTGCAGCAGACATCGGGTGCGCACGGAAGGGGCACAGGTTTTATTTAGAAGATGAGTTCCTGGTGCTCCTGAGGTGGAGTCCGTGGTAAAAGTGCTTTCCTGGGTACTCTTTGCTTCCCAGTCATCGGTGAGATCTGGTCCCAGAGATTCAGCGAGCTTCACTTAAAAGGAATCTGATCAGAGGGGAGGGGAGGGAGGGTGCTTGGCTTCTCACGATTGACCTAAGAAACAAGAAACAGGCATGGAAGTGTACTCTAAGCAAAGCAAGACATCATCCCTGTTGCAGGAATTCCCTCACTCTGGCACATATCACACTCATCAAGCCTGTCCTGCTCAGCCTCTCTTTCTGATCTAGTGAAATATAGGCATTTGAAGAACTTCAAATTAATTCAGTGCATCTGTTTTGCAGAGTTTAGCTCATTCATCCAAAAATCTGGAAGAGACAGTCTAGGACACCTGGTAGGGACAGTGACTGGGCACAGCAGCCTTACATACCAAAATTCACCCACAGAAGAATGACCAGGCTTGGCTTTGACACCACATCTCTTCTCCTGCATGACACAGCCCAAATAACCCCCCTTTCAGAACAGCAGCATTACAGCCTGCTTACAAGGGGAAGGGGTGGGGGTGAGGGCAACTTCCCTAGGAGAAATGCTGGAGAGAATCAGCCCACCATGTCTGAACCTGCTTTGTTTTCATAACTGCAAGGTGTGCCCATTATACAGGCATTAGTTACTATACAATCGATGCACTGTGAACACCTCCCTCTCTTTGTAACCTTTGCCTCCAGAAGCTAATTCGGGCCTTGAAGAATTTAATTTTATTAAAAATCATCTCTAAATATACACATACTAATAACACTGGGGAGAGTCGATTAGAGATCACATCTAGCTTATATGGGCCAAAGCTTCCTACAATGCACTTCCATTTGGAACAGCAGCTGAAGTCACATCTGTAAAGGGCAGAAGAGGGTCATGCTTTTTGGAGCAGGGCAACATTAGAACAATTCCCAACAGTAACATGTCAAAACCCCTGAGACCGGTGGGAAGGAAGGGTAGACATCATTCCACTTTCCAAATCCACATCCTGTGTTAGGTGAGAAGAGAAATTGAAAGGAGAGGAGTTAATCACTGGTTTGGGGAAACACATGCAAATAGGGAAGAGGGAAGGGTTGCAGCTATGGACAGAGGTACCCTGGCACAGGCTGGGGCACACAGGAGCACTCTCACATGCCTTCTGCCTAGGCAACTGCTGCCTCCAGCCAACACAGGACTATGCCAGGCTTTCAGAGTGGGCAAAAGAGCACTTTAAAATTAAATTAGATCCCTCTGTAATTTTTGGCTCACAGCAGTTTTTGAAGCTCTTAGCAACAAAAAAAGGCAACCACTTCTTTCATCCCTCTTCCTCCCCAAAGACAGAGGGACAGCAACAGAAATCCTGCTTTGGCCAACTATTCTTGCCAGCCATAAGATTCCTCCACTAACACCTCCACAGATGCTCGCAGCAGAGCAGAGCTCTGCCACATGCAAGCAGTGCCAAATAACAGAGCCTCTGTCCTACAGGGCTCCTTGGCTGGAGGGGCAATCTGAAACAAAGCAAAGCAGCACCCCCACTGCATCCAGAGCTGCAGGTATTTGCACAACACTTGGGCTTTCCAGGGCTCTTGGAAAGCAGAAAGGCATCGGGATCTTTTGTGTTCAGGATTCCCAAGCTCTAAGGGCATATTGTGCCTCAGAGAATACGGAAAGGACAAACTAGGATGGGACCATAAGGCCCGGTTTCAGGAGGAAAGGAACGAGGATGGATTTAAATACAGTAAAACAAAGCCAAGGCACAGCACAGTTTGGAAAATGGCATAATTACTGTAACAAGAATAAAAATCCCCCAGCCTAGGATGTGATGTTAACACTCGTTAACTCCCTAGATTTGCACACAGCTTGTACCTTACTGCTCCAGCAATAGGCTCATTAAAGCTGATTTTTACCTCTACTGTCCTGCTAGGCAACACAGAAAAATCCTTTCTCTGTGTTTGTCTTCCTCTGATAAATGGAGCTGAGGCCACGACCCCCCTACGTTCAAAAAGCACTATGAGGAGATGGCTACACAGGACTTTACAGTCATTAGGCACCACAGACCAGAAACACCCTCAGCTGAACAAAAGGTGACAAGTTATTGTAGTCTTAAACCACTGTTTGTGATGTTACTGGAGTCCCTTCGAGAATAGCCATTACCTTTACAGATACATATCACTGTATGGAATGGAAAAGGAAAAGGAAAAGCAAGGAGAGCTGTTGGCACACATCAGTAAGGGTTACATATTTTTCCTAGCCCTCTAGGAAAGTATAAACTCCCACCCTTTTCCTCTAACCACATAAAAGAATTTTCCCCCAAATCCCAGGTAAAATAATCAGAGCTGAGAGAGGGACTGGGAATAGAGCTCCTCTTTCTATCCCTCACCCCATCAGCACAGGATCATACTTCTCTGGGAACATTTCTGCAGGTAGAGGCTGCTGTGCAAATGCACAGGCTGTCCGGGCAGGTACCATGAACAAGCACTGCCCACTTTATGGTGAGTGAAGTAAGGCAGTGCTTGGGCACCAGGCAGAAAAGTCCAACACAGGAACATCAGGGCAGGCTGGATCATGCCAACTTTCCTTTTCTGTGTAAGCAAGAGCAACGGCTTTGACACAGTTCTGTGAAAAGTCAACAAGGCGGCCCCCAAAAACCTTCAAGTCTCCTGGATCACTGTCAAAAGCAGTAATCTCAGAGGTATTTTCCAACCTAAATGATTCTATGATGAACTCAGGGACTCTGCACCTCCTCCTTGCCCCAACTGCAGGATACACCAGTACCTAAATAGATCTTCCTGTTGAGGCACTCACAGGCCAGTCAGGAACAAAAGACATCTGCCCAGCCTCAGCTGCAAAAAGCAGAAGACCACTAGTAGGCTTTGCCTGGTGCCCAACTGAGACTGATGGTCAAGAAGGCTTCCAAGATTTGTCCAACAGAGTGTAGCCTGGATTGCTAGACAGACACCACTCCCAGCCAAGGAGGGAGATGCACAGTGCAAACACACATTCCTTACAGCCATGCCAAGCCAGTTACCCACCTCCTGCTCTACTTCACAGCAGGAAGGCAAGGCAGCCTTACACCACAAAAGCTTCTGAAACTACTGTGGAAGAGGTAAGGAAGGGACCAAAAGACAATTAACAAGCTAAACTACATCTCTAGGTTGGAGCTTTTCCAATGGCATAGACTGGAAGAAGTCAACACTGGATTAGCCATCATCCCAAGAGTGCCCACTACTAGAGCCTGAGGACACCTAGAGAAGACAAGCTGTACGTGTGTCCTTCGTAACACAACCATATCCAAACTAAGCACAGTCTTTATACACCTCCACTACTAAACCACTGTTAATGATGATTCCTACCCTACCCCTCTGGGCAAGAACAACTGGTCTGCTTAAAGCAGCAGCCCCATCATTTTGGGGCCTCTTCCCTTCACAAAAGAGCGTGAATTCAGAGTACAACACAGCCAACAGAAATGGCTTCACAAAAGATCATTACATCTTGCAGGACTCTGCTGAAGGCATGGTCTGTTTGCAGAGCTTCTGGCCCTGCATGAAACAAAGCTCCGCTGGCCTGAGGGTACAGTTGCACTGTATTTCAGCGTTGACAAGAAAGCTGGTGTAAGTAGCTTCCACCTCCGCACCACGGTTCACCACTCTCAGTTGTGTCAACACAATTCTCAGCAAGCAAACAGCACTGCTGGAAAACAAAACAAAAAATCCCTTTTCGCCCCCCTGCCACGTTTTTGTCTTGGATCCTTTCCGTGACCTAGTTCACAGCACAGCTCAAAACAGCAAAACCAACATCAGGGTGAATAGCAGCACAAGCGAACAGCTAGAGGGGAGATGGGAATGCCTCCTCTGCTCCACCATGACAGTTGTATAAACTGTACACCCAGAACTTTTCTCCCAGTAGGGCCAGCACTCTCACTATGCCTTTCCCTTACTCAATGATGACAGAAGGAAGCCAAGAACTAGATGGAAAACAATGGTAAGGGCACCCCAAAGTAAATTTTGGGTCCCTGTGCTGGCAAGGAGGACTGCCACACCCTGCATGACAGTGAAGAAATGTAGTTACCCCTGAATACCCCAGAGATCACTGTAATTACAGTTTCTACACAGCTACACAACTCATTGTAACTCCCTCTTTTCATACGCTCATAAATCTCAAGAAGAGGTCTTTTGAATTGCTATTTTCCACACTGGAAGCCCAATCCTATTTCCAATGAAGCTTGCTTTGTGATCGTCTTCAAGCGAGAGCAGTTTGGCTCCCAGCCCAAGAGAAATTTAAAAGAGCAAGTTACATCTTTAAATCAAAGAGGGCAAACGCAAACAACAGCTCCCTTTTACATCCTATGCTTTCCCAATGGATTTCCCCTGTGAAGCTGAGGCAAATAACTCCAGAGCGGCTCATCTTTGAAATCTTTGCACAGTTTCAATCTTGCTCTGTTTAAAACTTGCAATCAATTAGAGTTGGTTTACCAGTCAGTTCATGAAGTTGTATGTATTTGGAAGTGCCATCTGGAGTGCAAAGCAGCCACAAGTGTCCGTGAGGATGTGCGCAGAATTCAGCTCCAAATGCTCTCAGCCTCACTTGTTAAACAGCACCAGCTGTCTGTGGGGTAATGAGTGCCCACAAGCTATTGCACTGAGAAATCTTTTTTCCCTTCATTTAGTGAAACGAAGAGCTTTGCAAATCAAACACACTGAACCTCAAGCGCTGAGGGTTCAAAAGTAAAAACAATTAAGACAGCTAGGCAGTGAGGAAGCTTTTCCAACTCTGGCATTGGCTTGGCTGCACAGTACTGCTGCAGCACATTCCCATTATTCACTTCAGGAAAACGAGAAGTTGCGTAAGTTCAACTGCAGACATAGTAAGACCTATGAGCAATGCCACAGGAACCTCTTGCTTTTGAATTTCCTGAACAGGCCCCAGTCCAGCAACTTGATCTGGAAGCACATAAGTTCATCCATGCTCATCTACTCACAGAGCCAAGACTTCCAGTTTTAACAGGCAACGAGCTTTGGGAAACAAGGTTTTTCTAACGTATTTGTATTTATTTCTGCATGTCATTAAATAAGATCAATTTTGGCCTTATATATATATAAAAAAATAAACCATGGCTTTTACTCTATGGTAAAGGCTCTTGATTTGCAAGCCCCTCATTCCAAAAAAACCCATTTAGTAGTCAGCAAATTCAAGCCCTCTAGCAATAGGTTCTCTTTTCTTTTGCTTCTCAGAGGCTCCTCAGAAAGATTTCACAGATCCCCTGGAATTTCCAGCACCAAAGCTGAAAACCATTAGTCCATGACATGGATATATCAGAAAGAAAGGCCATTTGGTTTATTGAAGCAATCCACTGTTTAATCAGAACATGCAGCAACACAGGTCTGAAAACACAGCAACTGACAAGAGAAAAACCCAGGCAAAACCACCACTCAGGTGAGCAGAGTTTCCAAGCAGTAATCCCCAGTCTCTTGCCCCTCTTTACACAGCTGGAAGCTCTCTACATGGGGCCATCTATAAAGCACTTCCCTGGAGGATTTCCTCTGCCCACTCCAAGAGCCACATCTGTCTTGTCCAAGTTTCTGAAGCACAATGAGCATTTGAGACTATCATGCAAACTACACCTCAGTGCCATCCTGTCAGACTGGTGAAAGCTTGTGCTTGCTCACTCATGGGTGTGTTCCATGCTGCCAGATCTCCTCTTAACGCCAGAGCCATGCAACCTGGCACAAGGTATTGTGGCCTCAGCCTCAGGACACCAGAGCACCTGGGATTGTGTACAGGAATACAGTTTCCCATATTGACATTTAAAACAAAACAAATGGGAAAAAGATTCTCACAAGACACTGCTGACACTGCCTAGCCCAGCAGGCAGCACCTACACCTCATTTTCAATATTTGCTTTTAGCAATAGCACTTGGATACTGAGTTAGCATTAAAAGGTATGAACTGGAAAATGTTTCTCTACTGAAAGAGCACTCCCTCCTTTAACACACTTCATATCTGCCTGCATTTTCTATTTAAATTCAGAACAAAAAAGACGTCTGCAGACCCTGAGAAAATCCCCAGGACACAGCACAGTGGGACTCCACAGAATGGAGTCTCTCTATATCTGCCTCATGCTCAAATCTGTACAAGCCCAGTGCCATTCTGCCCTTGCAAGGAGAGAGGGCAAAGGTGTTGACCCCTGAGGAAATAACCATTGATTTTTAATTTGATCCAAGTCAGAAAATTCTGACATACAGGTTAATGAGGAATTAAAAGAAGTACAAAGATCATTTTTACACAGGTTAATTTTATTCTTCCAAGCTGTGGTACCAGACATGGAGAAACATGAGCTTACTGTTTCCCACCAGCAGAACTGGACATCACAGTTCTCCACTCAGGTCTGCCTCTCAGGTCCCCACACAGCAGCACAAGCCTTGCAGCAGCACAGTCACATTTCTGATACCATCCTTTGCTTTGGTTGCAAGAGGTGGGGGTGTAAGGAAGGCAGGCTACAACAACACAACATGCAGTTCTGCTAGTACAACTGCAGTCCTTTGGTACTGTTGTCCTAGTACTGTATCCCAGTCTCACAATGACAGGAAGCCCTCTCCAGGTGGACGTATCCATAAGACAACAGCCACCAGGAACAACTGCCACTACCAACCTAAACCAAAGGCCAGAAGCAACCGCTGGGAGCTGCTGGTCGGTGGCTGGGAGCAGTTAGATATTTGCCTGGCTCGTTCCAGTACAGCCTGGGATTATTCCAAAATTTCAGCTATAGGAACATTTTTAAAGGAGGCTTTCTACAAGACTCCATTCACATTTATTTTTCAAAATTAACAACTGTAGTGATCACAGAGCCAACACTGGCCTCATAACTGTGGCCAGCTAAATAGCCAAACCCCAGTGGGGGAAAAGAGCCAAGCATGGTCAAAACGAAGCTTTTCAAAGGTGGCAAAGCACTGCCGAAGCTCCCTTCTCCACAATTCTCCTCCTTGAAGTCAGGCTGAGCTCACAGGCAATGATATCACAGAACATACTTCATAACATCCTAATTTGCACTTCCAGCCAGCGTGACTCCATTTCTTAACTCTTTATAGCTGCACAGATCCTATGGACCGTTCACTACTGACAAACCCGGGGTCAGAAAAATCCCACTGCTCCAAACAGTCACAGAATCGCCCACCTGCCTCCTCAGACCGAAAACCCTGCCATCAAGTCACTTATGCTTTCACCGGTTCTGCAATTCAAAGAGTTTAGTTCACCACCTTGACAACCTTCTGAATAAAAAAACAACCCCCCCGTGTTATTTCGCAGCAGCTCCTTCCCGTCACTTCTGCTCCCGCTCCCGCGCTGCCCAGCGGGATGAGCCCGAACACAGAGCAGTTTGTTTCACACGGCGTGGGCAGGCAAGGCACCATCCGCGTTCACACCAGCGCGGAGCCTCCCGCACCAAGAGCGCCCGGGCTCCTCGCAGGGCGAGGCTCGGCAGCCACAGCGCCGCTGCGCCCACGGCCCTCGCCGACACCGAGCGGCTTCTCCCGGGATGCCGAGATCGCGGACCCGCCGCCCCAGCAGCCTCACGGCGGGCAGGCTGAGCCCCGGCCGGCAGGAGGGAGGCCCCCGCCCGCCTCCCACCTCCGCCCAGGCACGGGAACCAGCGGGCAGCCCGGAAAGCGCCGGGCAGGGCAGCGGGACGCGGCGGGCTGGCCCCGCAGCGGGCACCGCCGGGGCTCGCAGCCGCACAGCCCGGCCGGGCACGGACGCCGCGGCCAGGCGCGGGAGCCGGAGGCTGCCACACCGCCGGTCCCGGCGGCGGGAGGGCGTGGCGGGGGCAGCGGCATCACCCTCCCGCACAGACAGACGGGCAGATGGACGGACTCACCTCCCTCCCGCAGCCGTCCCATGCTGCCGCCGGCACCGACCCGACCCTCCGCCGCCGCGCCGCTCCCCGCCACCTTCCCCGGCGGCGGCCGCCGTCGCTGCTGCCGCTTTCCGCTTCCTGTGCCCGGCACCGCCCCGCACTCCGTCCCGCCCCCGCCGGAGCCACCGCCCCCGGGCGAGGCTCGCCTGCCCGGGAAGCGGCCGCCCGCACGGTGGCTGGGACTCCGGCACCTAAATCCCGCTGGAGCCGAGCCCTGCTGCTGCCGCGCCTGGTGGGGCTGTGCGGCCGAGCCGCTGCTCAGCCCCCGAGGCCTGATTTGACTCTCGAACCTCTGCCCGTGGTTCAGCCTCCTCTGCACCTGGGGCGTGCACACGCTCCTTCTCATCTCTACCACTGCTTCCCCCATCGCCGCCCTCCGTGCTCGCGGTGCCCAGCCCATGAGCCCCGCAGCTCTTCCAAGGCTCTGCAGCTCTCCTCCACCCAGCCGTGATCCTCGCCTGTCCTATGCCGTCACCTTCCTCCAAGAGAAAGATCAGTCCCTTGGAGCTATCCCATCCCAGGCTACGGTGTTCTTGGGTTTCCTCCAAGGCTAAGTGTATTGCCAGGCACTCTAATGCCCCGCTTTCACCACAGCTTGGTCTGTTCCTCCACCCAAAGCCTGCAGCTGCAGCGCCCTTTGCCCCTGGTCACAAGAGGATTGCCATGAGGAAGGACCTCCTGCCGCCCAGGGAGAAGGGCCTGGTTTGCCTGAAGCCTGCCTTGGGCACCAAATTCTGACACCACTTGCTCTAGGCAGGTGGAAAGGAAACAGGAGACTCCTATGTTAGCACAAGTGATATTTTTCACATGTAAATGTTGCTCCTATTTCATTCCACCTTTGGTTTGTCTTACCCTTTAAAAATATTTAAGTTTTCAGGACATAAAATGAGCTAGCAACTGGGAATGTATGAAAAAAATCTAGACCTCCTAAATTCCAGTCCTGCACTTTGAACTGCTCAGGTATGGCCCAGGCCACAAATGGAACAAATGCACAAGAAACTGAAGGTATTCCTATTTGATAAGTGTATGTTTTGCACTATTATGGCTTCTGTATATGTCATCTTTTATTTTTTCCCCTCCACTTTGCATTCCCTCCCTTTTTCCAAAATAATGCCACAGTTTTATTTGTGGTACTTGCCCCTACTCAACACCTGTAGACCATGGAATGACTTCACAATGAAACAGTCAACCAGGAATAACAAGAAACCTTTCCATACCACTCTGATTTGGTAGTTACATTACCTCCTATTTTGCATGGCATACATGCTTACCCAACCCTGTGACTGACTGGAAGAGTCTGATATCAACTGATAGGCTCCATCTTGTATTATGCATCAACATGTGTCTAAACTTGCCCAAGGCCCGAGTACTCTGCAGCATTCCAGGGACTGTCTCTGCCCTGAAAAGCATCTGACACCCTGCTGAAAGCCTGCCTCAGTCTCACTGCCTGCTGAGGGCTCTCCATGGCTCATGGGCTTGCTCATTTTGTCACATTTCACCCTGCTCAGAGGTGACAAAAGACAACAGGCTTGAGCTTAAGCGGGACACCCGTCTGGAGCAGGGCAGAGACTCGGTCCAAGGAGCAAGGTTTTACCTGTGCCATGTGGGGGAGATACTGCCTTGCCTGAAAGGCTATGGAAACTCAGGGGAAAACATCAACATGGGAATGAGGCCTTTACCCAAGGCCTGTAGCTAGACTTCTTTGAAAGCACCAAAGAAACTCTGCTAAATCTATTTCTTTTCCATGTTGCTCCACCAGCTGCTCAAGAAGATTTAGAGGATTTCTCAATACTCGTTTCATGGTTTAGAGCAGCAGGATTTGTTGCAGTACCACACAGAAAGGAGATTGCTAGGGATGCACACAACCCTCAGTGAGAACCAGCACCCGTGCCCTGCCCAGACCTGGTGCAGATTCCCATTAGACCCAGCAGTGAAGCCCCTCACACCTAACTAGGTCAAGGCGTTACATAGAAGACTGGCAAAGGGGGAATACACTGAAGATGGGCTCAGGGGCAGATTCTGTGATACTGTCACATGCTTATGTCTCCTCATCTGTTTAAACCTTTAAGACATGAGGAAATGTTTCGTATGAGTCAAGTTACCTGTGTAGTAGGGGCATAGTTCAGAAATTTGTGAAGTGCTCTGCTCCTGTACACTACTGAATTTCTAAAATTAGAATTGATTAGAGTTTTCTTTAAGGTACTGAATGGATTTTACTGATTCATAGAAGAATTGTTTCAGTTGGAATGGACCTCTGGAGGTCCAGTCTTTCCACTCAGAACAGGGTCAACTAAAGCAGGTTGCTCAGGGCTGTGCCAGGCAGGGTTTTGAACATCTCCGAAGACAAAGAGTCCACAAGCTCCCTGGGCAACCTGCTCCAGTATTTAACAAATGAATAGTAAAAATGGGGTTTTTCTCACATTTAAATGTAATTTCATGCATCTCAGTTGGCACCTGTTCCCTCCTTTCCTTTCACTAGGTCCCACTGAGAAGAGTGGCTCCACTTTTTTACTCCCTTCCAAGTGATATCTATACACAGTGATACACATTTACACACATCAACTCCCCTCTGAAGCCTCTCCTCAAAGCTAAAAAATCCCAGCTCCTGGTGTGTCAGATGTGGCAATCCCTGAATCATGTTAGTGGACTCCAGTATGTCCGTGTCAAAAAAAAGTTGGTTTCTGGTCCAGAGTGTGTTTGTAATGCAAAACACACTGTTCCATTCTCCTCTGCTTTGATCTTTTCCTGTTCCTTATGGAACAGTGGCCAGGAGATGTTTTAGGAAGGATTTGTAAATGGTCAAGTATATGGTTTGGCCCTGCTCTATGGCATGATCTTAGATGCACACACAGATAGGTGAGGAGCTAGTGCACACGTATGAAGCCAGGCCCAAACTGTTTCCTGAAGTGGCACACAAGAAAGGGATATGATTTCAGATTCTTCATCCCTTTCTGCAGCAGACTTGAGATCATTTTGTGAGCATAAATACCTTTGATTTGCTCCAAAGTTGTCTCTCTTCTGTGGAAAAAAAAAAGCAATCCTTATCATGTGAATGTCAATGCTGCAATCTCAAATTCACTGGGGGCAGCAGGGAATGGATAGTAGATGCCCTGCACTTATTTCAGCAAGTTAATTAAATAATTATTTTCTGCTTAAGCCACCAAAGCCTTTATCAGATTTTGCAAAAAGCAACTTCTCTCTTTCCCTAACTCTCTGTTGATTTGATTTTTTTCAACAGCAACATGATTAGCATTCTCATTTCATACAGCTCCTTGAGGGGGTTGTTTCTATCCTTAGCTTTGAAGAAACACACAGGAAAATTTTACAAGTGCAAGCAGGAACATTCTCTTCCTGCCTGAAACATGAGGATCCAGACAGTTCCTGGATCCTCAGTTCACATTTGCTGAAGGGTCTACGTGCCTTCCCACCAGTGCAGCACCTGATCAGGTATCTGACCAGGGCCAAGATGCGTGGATGGTGTAGTCCAACGTGAAATACACACACTTGCAGGAAATTCAAATCATATAGACATCTGTGTTCTAGAGAAGACACTCATATGTAATTCTACTAATCCATCTCCTGCATTCCTCGGGCTTGGACTTTGCACCATGAAAAGCATGAGTTGGACAGAAAACCAGAGAGAGATAAGGGACTTTCTGAAATGTGGACATTACCCTTTATTATGGCAAATCCTTTAGGATTTTGAATCATTTGTCTTACACTTTGATTTGCTGATCACAGTGCATCAGCAACCTGCTATTCACTGAAATAATCTGAATAAAGGTCTACATTCTCTCTTCCAGGATCATATACAGTAAAGCGATGGGAGTTTTCACACAATTTGACATATATGTTACACTTTAAAGTCATCTCTCAGGTCAAAAGTTTGCTTTTCTTTTTCCTCCAGGACCCTGGCTTTGCTTATTTCAAAATTAATCAATCTCCTTATCCTTATATTTTTCTATTGATCATTTTTGTGGGTCAGATTCTGCTATGTTTGGAGATACACACGTACAATATTTTTGTTAAGATACTGAGGTTGAATTCAGTGTAGATTTTTTCCATCACCTTGGAAACCATTCTTCTTTCCTCAAAATCCAGGCTCCACCTTTCCCAACACACAGTGACATATCCAGATAATTTTTGTCTCTGAAAAAATTCAGTGACAAAATCACATGTCTACATATGTCCATAAAACCTGATTGATTTCTGTGCTTGGTATTGCTTTTACTACTTCCTGAATAGAAGGGAAAGATCATTCTCAAGTTACAGGCCACTAAAGAGAAAATTTGTGTGCATAATGCCTTGAGAATCAGAGGCAATGCTTTGTCAAGAAACACAAGTGTGAGCTGAGCCAGCACAAGTATAAATGTCACTCTGAATTACAGCCTGCTTTTATATAGCATCAGCTGGAGCCTCCAGCATGGGGTGCAAAGTTTTCTCCTGAGACTGGATGTCACTTCATAGGTCCTATCTGATGAAACTGCTCCTACAGCCAGTCTGAGCTGTGCATGACCGTGCTCTCAGCTGCTGACCTCACTCCAGCAGCTTACATCCAAAGTTCAAGTAAACGTGCAATGGCACAAATGCACAAAGTGCCACTTTTCAGCTCTTCTGCTGCAAAAAATCTTGTTTGGAAGAAGAGAGAGAGAGAGGCCAGAGGGACATGACTACAAAAGAACTCCTTCCTTCCCTTTTGGGGTGGTTGTTATTTAGAAAGGGAAAATGCGTAGTACTGCGCAGCTGAAGAAACAGCATGACACATTTATTTTGTATAGCAACTTGTATAAAAGCTGCTGAGCTGTTTATGGAATTAATTATCTGAAATACATGATTTCTGCCGAAATAAAGAGTAACGGTGGCGGGCAACAACACTAGAAAAACTTCACTTTGCTGAGATTCTGCAAAACCCATTTCAGGATTCAGTAGAAATTCAAAGCAGACAGAGGTAGAGCTTTTCTTTGGGTTCAGCAGATTTAAAGAATACTAAAGAACACTGTTAAAAAAAAAAAAGAAAGCAAAAAACCCACAACAAAGTGTTACAGGCCACTAAAGAGAAAATTTGTGTGCATAATGCCTTGAGAA